ACCCTATTTCAGCATCATTTATAACCCAAAGCATGAAAACTGTCAGCCTACCTCTTAGATTTTTCCAGATACTGATCTTATTCAGCCTGGGTGCTTGCTAGCTTGTTTGCAACATTACTTTCCTGAGAAGGAAAATACAACATAGAGCAATCAATGAAAGGTGAATCTCTGGGTTGGAGAGGTTTAGTACACAATGCAGATTGGGCTGATCTAAACGGCATATACTTCCTTAATTGCATTTTGCTCCCTCCATAGTGTTGACAGCCTAATACTCATTGGTATTCAGCTGACTCCCAATTCCTGCAGTATGGGTAATTGCCCCTTCCCTTCGCAGATGCACACCTCTATGATCACTACTATAATTTGTATGGATGGAAAATGTAAAAGAAATGTTTATCATGTGTAAATTACTTTAATCTCTTGTAGCAAGCTAGATGAAAATGAAAAGGGCCAGCACCAAGCAGTCCACTCTCTGCAGAAAGCAGTGAATGACTGAATCTTAAAGCTTTTGAACAATATGTAGGCAGACCTGTTTATTCCACTGTGGTTTACGCTCCACTGCATCCATGCACTTATTTACTCTTCTGCAACACTGTGGATCTATCTCATGCTGGCCAAACCTTCTTTATATTACAGGTATAGTTGCAGCACAGAGAGTTCTCTCTTTCAAGAGAAACAAGATCACTTGAGCTGCTAACATCATGTGCTGCACTTAATCAAACATGAGAGAAGACAAGATCTCTGTCCTAAAGATCTCAGCCAAGCTGAGACCTTGTCAAGTCAGTCCAAATACAGCATGAGTTGCTTAGGAGGATAAAATACCTTAGTGACTTACATGAGAGAGACAACATGCTATGCATCCCAGAACTGAAGAATAAGCTTTTCTTGATAAAAAGAATTACTTCCCTGAAAGAAAAAAAGAGGTATTAGCTAACCAGGAATAGCAATATTAAACCAAGATCCCAGTATACAGAAGAGCTGCTTTTATTAGCATGTACCTGTCGAAATTGGACCTCAAGCTATGGGAAGATTTCACCCCTTGAAACACAAACTTCTTCCACCTTATTCCCATGACACTGTCGCACCCAAGGCTGTAGCTACACTACAACCAGCAGAAACAGGTTGGCACCAGGCTGTCCACAAAGTCCCTGGAACCCCAAGCCAACGGCCCGGCCTTGCCATTACCCACACCAGCGTTGTCCAAAAAGCTGATTTGTTCCCCGGTGTGCAACGAGCCAATAATCACTCTCAGGAGAGACATTATTTATTTAATATTTGCACAAAGATGGGTGCTAGGTGGTAACTCCACAAAGCTAGCACACCACAGCAAAGGAAAACAATGTATTTATTCTGTTTTACGATTAGTAAAAACCCACCTAAATTTACATTCATTGGTTTGTAGTCACCATCTCATCTACTATTGGCCAGTTATATTTAGATTAGCCTTGCTTGCCGTGCAGATTAGCATGCACGCTCCTTGCAGGTTCATGCTTCTTTGGCAATCATCTGGCCTTCGGCGCCTTCTGGAGCAGGATGTTTCTGTTTATCGGTCACATCCTACATTTCTGAGGTCCAATTATCCTTAACGTTTCTTTTCTCTCTGACGGACCTTGAGTATTCTTGCCAAGTTGGCAATGCACACGAAGCTTCCTCAAAACATCAAGGCCTAATTGTTCCAGCGTGTCCTTACTCTATGAATGCCAGCTGTGTGCCTTTCCGATTACAGCCTTACTTATTTGATCTACACAAAATATGCCTTGCACAAAATATTCAGATCATTCTCAAATCTCTTCAGTTATTCTTCAACAACACCAGCGCTTGGCCTGTGCTGGCTCGCTCCGCTACGTCCCGCCACGCCGTGCTGCCTGCCTCAGCCGGCACCTCCGAGGCCGCGCTTTCAGTATAAAAACTACTCTGTGACAGCAAGAACCATTTGAACGAAAAGTTATCTCTATCCCTGGCTGCCTAAGGGGCAGGGAGGACATGAGGGAGATGGCGGTAGGCACAGCCCCGGGGAGCGCGGCCAGGCCCTCGCCGCCTCACAGGACCCTTCCCTCACAGGACACTTCCCTCGCCACCGCACAGGATCCTTCCCACACAGGACCCTTCCCTCGCCACCGCACAGGATCCTTCCCTCACAGGACCCTTCCCTCGCCACCGCACAGGATCCTTCCCACACAGGACCCTTCCCACACAGGACCCTTCCCTCACAGGACCCTTCTCCAGGGCCCAAGCCCTTCCCCCGCTCCGGCACCCGCCGCGGGGAGACGGGGCGGAGCCGTCCGGGAAGGGACCCGGCCTCCCCGCCGCGCCCCGCCCCGGCCAACCGCGCCTCAGACGCGGCGGGACGGTCGCCGGGGCCCCGAGCCCGGTTTCGGTCTCTCCGCTCCCCTCGGCCGGAGCCCCCCGCGCTCCGCGGGGAGCGTGAGGCGCCGCGCCCGCCCTGTGAGGGTGGTCTGCGCGGCCTGGGCCTGCCAGCGGGGCCGGTCCCGTCAGCCGGGGCTCGGGGCTCAAGGGCTCCCTCCGTGCCGCCGCGGCTCGTAGCGCAACGCCCCGGGGCACCGCTGTGTGCCGAAGCGGGGTCGGTGCGGCAGGCTGCCGGTTCTCGATGCGCTGGTGGGCCTGGGTAAGGAGCCCCGTCTGTGGCGGCGGTGTGAGGAGAGGTGGGCGCCTTCTTTGCCCGGAGGGGAGGGTGCCGGCTGTCAGCGGGGCTTCGGGGGGGGCAAGGAGCCGCAGAAGGCCAGGCAGGGATCGGGGTCCCTTCTGTGAGACGAGTTGCTCGCTCTGGGAGCAAAACTCTCGGTCACGGCTGAGCAAGGTAATGTGCCTGGGGGGTGGCTCGTCCCTGGGACCAAGCCTGTTGGTTGCAGGAAGGCCTGAGGGTGCTCGCAGTGCACTGAGAGCATCTGGTTCGTGTTAGGGTTTTCTGAGAGGGAATTTGTCAAAGCGTGCGTTAAATAGCTTTGAAAAACCCGTGTTTTCAGCCTGGAAATGGAAGATTGTGAAATGAAAAACAATAAACTGCCACCCACCTCTGTTGCTTTTGGGTTTCAACTAGAATTGCGTGGAGAAGAGTTTCTTAATTGGCTGGTACTTCGTGGAAATACATTTCCACCACGTTTTTCGTGGTTTTTTCACCGGTGTGGTGTGTTGCAATCACATTTTTGCCTCCTGTGAGGACAGAGCTTGGTTCCCTCAGGTTTTCTTCTAAGGTGCTTGCCATTTTCAGTGACAGTGTATCACAGCAACCTCTTCTTAGTGGTGACTCAAGGTTTTGTCGCCATGTCTGTAAGACAAAGTGACTCTTAGAAAAGCAATTCAGACAGTTCTGTGGCTTCTGTTTTTCAGAACCCTTACTGAAGCGCTAAGCTTGCTTTCTGCCAGTCTGTTAAGGCAGATATTGCCTCAGCCTTGTGAGGAGTAAAAGCTGTATGTTAGCAGCTGCAACTTTAATGTTGGCTGTAAACATGTTTTATTTGCTATTTATAAGTATACTTATGGCTTCAAAGTTATTTATCTGCTGATGTTGTTACAAATACCTATTTTTCACTGTGAAAATTAGCTAATATCGGTTGTATCTGATATGATGAAGCATTCCTAGTTCAGCCAGTCATGTTACTCGCTGAAATTCATATTCTCACCCCTTAATGATCCATGTGCTGCTTGTGCAGCTGCAGTTTCTTAGGTCAACTGTGGGCTGGAGAACTAACTGACTCTCTGTTTGCATTTCCTATTGTTTTTCTCCAGTAGACCTGATCTTAATAACCAATCTCCAGCCTGAATTAGTGGTGGTGTAATGAACAAAAGAATTACTTAGTGTTTATTAATGGTTAAAGTTTAGATTAGAACAGTTCTTTAATTTTTGGGACCATGTTAAAAGGAAAACCTTTGGACCTAGAAATTTGGCACTACAGGTTAGTTTTGGAAGTTTAGCCTTGGGAAAGAAGTCCTGAATTTGTTTTAGGGGCACAGGGTCTTCGCATAGTGTGCAGAAGGACTTTGGCAGTAATGTGGCATATAAAACAGACAGCATAGCATATTCAGTAGCGAAATGGCCAAAGTCAGCACCTTTAAAACAAAGTTGCCTAAACCCCAGTAACAAACACCAAGTACAGTGGCATAAGTGAATTTCTGGCATGACAGAAAGTGCCTTTGTCTACCTACTGTTACCACGTTGGGGTTCCCATCTTTCTGATGAAGGAGCCATGACTTACTCCTGAAAGCATCTTTCCAGAGGGATGTTGCCCCTTTACTCTCCTTACTTTATGAGAGTGGGGAAGAAATTGGAGCAAAATTACTCAGGATAAAGTTACTTAGGTCCTTAAATACCAAGGAAGAAAGGGTATTGCATCATTCTAATAAAAAAGGGTAAAATAAAGCTTTAAAATAAATGTGCTATGTGATGGGTAACTATCTGAGGTCTCTTCTGTTTCTGGAGCTTGAATCTGGAGAACTTTATTTCTCTTTTTCACATTGGGAGCATGACTCCTTATTTGAAAGCATCAGCTGGCTGATACTTGTTATGTTTTCTTCTTAATTTTCTAGACAAAATCTAAGCAGAACAAGGAGGTTTTGCATTTCTGAATGGTGAGAGGCTGATAATAATCTGAAGGCAAAAAACCCACCACTTTAAAATTTTTTTGTTTGTTTTCATGAATGATTTTATCCAAGTGTTACTGTAAATGGCTACAAATTTGGGAGGAATGCTGCTCAGAATTCATTGCTAATGTTCAGTGATAACTGTGATTGTGTGCTTACCCAGTGGATCTTAATGCGTACTGCGTACTACTTTGATCAGCAGTAGTGCTTTGAAGGGTGTTGCCTTGATCCAGTGCACTGATTAAGTAGTTATTTTGTCCACCTGTTGTGGGAGCTAAATTGGGTGTGAGCTGAGCTGTAACAGTCCTCCATGTTTCCCTGGTGCTAATAAGCAATCTAGTCATTCTTCCTGTATAATTGAACCTGTTACATGCTTTTGTTTTTATTTGCAGTACTGCACCATGATGACAGCCTCGGCAGATAGCTCTGATAATTATGAAAAGTGGCAGATGGAATTGAGCCAGACTTACAGTAGCTCTGGCTTGGACTATTCAGAAGATACTTTTGAGCCCTTCAGCGAGGAGGAAGAAGCCTGCTGGCAGCAAGAGAGCGAACCATCTGAATCGTATTGTTCCACAGAGAATTTAGAGGGGCCTGCTGTGTCAGATATGTTGGAAAGCATGTCACAGTTGGCAGGCCAAAATCATGCAGGTATGCAGAGCTTACCATGCTTGAGACCTGTCTTTCATAGCTTTAAACTGGTGCAGTGGAGCCTTGAATCAGCAAAAATAAAAATGTAAAAATTGCGTACAGTGTTTTTGCTGTGCAGAGCAACAGAACCTCGGTATGCTGACTAGGTCTGTGTTTTATGCTCTCGGGATTTGATGACAGCTATGTGCAGAAGGGTGTGATTTGGCCATGGAAACCTTTCCCTAGTAATCTTGCGATGCTGAAATTCTGTTGGCATGTTAAAAAAAATTCTGCAAGATACCTTAACTGAAGTACCATGTATGAAAAATAGCTGGGCCGTAAAATAATTTTTCCAAGGGCATAGGGAATGTTCCAGGACTTGAAATACTTAAGAGGGCTAGATAATGCCTTAAAGTTGCAGCAGATGAGTGATAAAAAGCAGGCAGCAGGACATAAGCTAACTGCCTTAATGTCTTGTTAGGTTTTCTTCTGTCTCTGTAGGGTTCTCTGTCATTCTTCTACATTCTCCTTTTCTCCAAGTTTGGTCTGGTAAGTACTGTGAGTACTTGAAGAGATGCATATTTTTTTAAATCTCTTCTTAGTTTGGGAGCTTATCAGCATATATAAACATTATAGCTTTAAAGATCAGCTACAACACATATATATATTTTTAAAAGTAGTGTAGACTTAAGATGTCTTTTAATGTCTATTAGCTGTTACTCTTGTAATCTGATTCTACTCAGTTCAACTTGATCAGCTGGCATATACCAATATATAATTAACCTTGTCTGTACTTGAAAATTGGCAAGCTGTTTCTTTTTCTACTCTGAACAAGTCCAGTAGAGATGTTCCTCCTGACCCTCATCCATCCAGTGTTTTACTGTGGGTTGTTTTTTTCACTCTGCAGTAATAACCAGCACCATTATAATTTAGAATCCATTTAAAATACTGTTTAGGCATGAAATCTTAACAATGCAGGACAAAATTTTCTGTCAGATGTGTATACATGAATGTAAACCCTGTTTATCGTAGCACAGAATATAGCATTAGATATCAGTGCTTCAGAAATCTGAGTAAAGGTGTGATCATTGCCTTGGTGTCAATTCATGCTACATTGATGTAGTTGAACAGTGTCTAGTAGATTTAACAGTTTTGCTTAAATTTTTTGGCTTTTACAAATGATAGGTTTTAATAAACCTTTTTTTCTGGAGATACAACAAGTTTTTTTTAAATTATTCCATGTCTAACCATTAAAATCCTTATTTCTGGCATCAAGGAGTACATGCTAGGAGGAATCCTTGCTCTGTGTGTAGAGTTTTGGGGTTTTTTTTAATAAGTGTTACCATTTTTTATCTTTACAAGGTTAATGTTTCATAAAATTATGGAGTCTTCTGAATGCTACCAGTTAAATGAGAAACTAGGGAATAATTCATAGAAAAATATTTTGGGAAATTGATTGCTTTCTGTGGTCTATATGTTACTGAGAACAGCATACTTAAATAATAAAAACTATAGAAAACCTGTCATGCTGGTGTCCCCATAGGGACACATTATTTCATTGTATAAGCCCACTGAATTTGCTATTAGTACCCTGAAAAGAGTAGAGAAGTCACGTGCTTCCTGTCTGCTCAGTATTTTGAACTGTGACCATGCCATATGCATCTTGCTGTCGGTGGCACTGACTTTTCAGACCTCTTAAGTCTTTTGTCTTTTCCCAGCTATTTGCTTTCACATCTTTGCTGCTTCCTCATTTTCAGCAGAACTGGAGTTGTACTGGAACAAGCTGGAGAACAGGGAGCTGATGCAGATTTTTTTTTTTAATTTCCCCTGTCCCGCTTTATTTTTCACTTGGATCAATACCTTGAGACAGTTGGCTTGAGGTCCCAAGAGTACTTGTGCTGTCACAAATGGAGAACCTATGGAGGGCTGAAAATAAGTGATGGGGCTGAATGAGGGAGGAGGTAGACTGAGGTCAAGTTAGCATTACAGATAAAATTGAGTGTGTCAAAAAGCTCTAAGCAAGAGCCTCTTAATTTTTCTCAGTGTGTCCCATGTCATTCAATGGGGTGATTAGAAATGAGCAATATGAGATACTTTGTGGACAGAAATCACTGGTATCATCTGTATAGTCCTGTGGCTAGGGGTTTCTTTTCCCTTAACAGGGAAAACTGTCACATTCAAGCGGAGGATTATTTGCTTCCCACTTTGTTTTTCTGCAGTCCTGCTTTCTTTACAATGTATGTTCAAAGCTACCTTTTTTTCATTGTAGATGAGCAGTCTGAAGTAGTGGATTCTGCAGCTATAGAAAGAGATGTCATAGGAAAAGGGGGTGATCTAAAAAATAAAGAAGCTGGCATTAAGCAAGACAAATCTGTCATCAAAACTCATGCTGGTGAGTTCAGTAACTTTAGTAGAGGTTATCATTCTTATTTCTTTTGAAAGGGGATGTAAACTTTCAACTAGACTTAAATTTTATATGCAAGCTATTAAAACCAGGTAATTAGCCTGGCTTAATTAGCCAGGTAATTAAGTATGAAGTTTCTCTGTTACGTTTTCTCGGAAAGCAGTTTGTCTCCCATAACACATATGGCTTTGATGCTCCTGACATAGTGATGTTATCCTAGTGATGCATTATCACAAGATCTGGATAAATACATTAAAAAAAAAGTATCCACATTTTAAATTTTACTGTAATCCTCAAAATTTAACTGGGCTGTTTAGTTTTTCTCTTTTTCTCTCCAGCTGTACAGGTACTAGGAGTGTGGGTTTTTTCCCTTCAAAATAAACATGACTTCAGATTTATTGTGTGAAGTGTTTTTCCCCTGTTGATCAGTTGTGTTAATTAATTAATTACTTGTTTGCCATATTTTAGTTCCTTTCCCAAGCTGAGGGAGGCAGCAGGGCACCAATTTTGGCAAGAACAATAGAGCAGCTTTAACCAACACAATGATATAGTGTAGGGAGGAGTAGCAGGGAAGGGAGGAAGGAAGGATGCTGTTTGCGTGTACTGGTTACGCAAGCAACTGTGAGAGCAGATGGTGGGATGCAAGTCCTGCTTAAGTCTTTCTAAAAAGTGGGTCAGAGATACTATTTTTAATTTAAAAAAAAAGAGCAAGAAAGCTGTAGTTGAGTGAAAAATAATTGAAGCAGAAGGGGAATCTTCTTCAGTCTGCATGTACATGAAAAGTGAACAAACTCAGAGGTTTTGTAGGTCACCAGTAAGACTGATTAACCAGGGAGATCCTTCCGCTTAGGTACTTCATGGCACTGCAGTTGCATACAAGTATCCTCAAACCATCCATATATCGTAGGAAAACATGACCTAAGATTATTTTTAGGCTATTCTTAATTGTATAGCTCATTCACAACAGTGGTGAGTCAATGAGTTCCTGACTCATCTTCAGCATTTATCTTTCTATTACTGGTTTTCCAAGACTGCCATGTAGTCAAGTGAGAAGACAGTTAATGTAGATCATTTCTATCATAGTAGAGAGGCTTCTCCTGGTGAGCTCCTCTGAGATAGTCTTCCTAAAATACATTAGAATCTTGTGACTGTGTGATTCATAGAGAAGTTGAAAAGGACCTGATGAGTTCAGATTCATTGAAAGAATGATAAACAACAGTATAACATTGAGGAAGTTTTCCACCTCTGCAGAGCTTTCCCTTGAAAGTTACATGTGGGATCCTCTTAATCAATTTCAGATTTTTATAGTTCTGCACAAGGGAATATTCTGCCTTTGGCTTATGGACTTTGATGGGCAAGGAGATTCAGAGTGATCACTCAGTCTTGAGTAGCAAGTTCTGTTTCATTAGCTTGTGCTGATGTATGAAGTGATGCATTGTCTTCTGTCTGCCTGTCATACTGCTTGTCATCTTAGCAGCTAAGAACTTTTCAGGTACATTGTTACAGTGCTTCCAACCACTATCAATATGAAGAGCACAAAATAAGGTTCATGCAAACACAGTGCACTGTCATGTGATTGACAAGTTATCCCTAAATTGATCAGCATCAATCATACTTAGCTGTGTACTGCATTTTTTATTGTGGAATATTAACATATAAACAAAATAAGCACAGCAACTTTTGTATACTTGACATCTAGAAATGCCTGCTTCTCTTTGACGCAGCAATTCAGTGCTTGGTAGCCCCCAAACCTCTTGTTATTTTATCAACTTGGAGATATATTTTTAAAAATACAATAGAAGATGAGCTCAGCTGGAAATAGATTGCTGCAAAGTTAGTCCCCTCAGTAAATTCGGCAGAATGAGTGATATATGCACTGAGCATGCATGGTACTTTTGAATTTGTCTTCAGGTAATAAAACAAAAATTCTTTTTACTATCTTACTACTGATAGGGTTAAATGTGGGGAAAAAAAAATGTCCTGTTTTGCATATGGGAATGCCCTGGAATGTGATTCTTATTTTTCATAGTTTTCTTTGTGGGCTAAAAGAATTAAAACCTGGATGCTGGCCTCAGGAGAAGTGAGAAATTTTTGTCATAGTTGTCTTTCTGTCTTCCTCTTCTTTGGCCCTCTACCACAGTGTTGTAGCAACTAGCTGTTATTGGACAAATGCATCACAAAATGACTATAAGTCCCCAATTCCGTATAGATTATTCCAAAGACCAGTAGTCATCTTTAAAATTTACTACAGGAAACTGGAGTTCTTCAACTTAGATGTATCTGAAAGTTCAAATGGGGCTTTTTAATGCTCTGACTTGTACTGTATTCAGAAGTTTGCTCTCACCTTTGTTTGTAACATGTCTACATTAAATGTTTTGCTCATTTATTTTTCCACACTGTTACCGGCACTATTGCTGGCAAAACCAGGACAGTTTTGGTTGTTAATGTATGTTACTTAGAGGCATAGAAATGTTTGAGCAGCATCAGACAGTTACAGTTCAGTCAGTTTTACCAATTTAACCATTATTGTTATGATAGTGGTATCAATGATGGGAAGTCCAAAAGTAAAAAAGGCCAGTGTAAAAGGCAAATAAATACCTGTGGTTCATGGTGTTAAGGTGAAAGGCGCTGGCATGTGCCCGTTGACATGTGTGCACTCAGGGAAGTGTGTTTATTTTTCTGCATCAAATTTTTTTCCAGCTTGTCCAGAGTATTTCTGAGTAGATCTAGTTTATATTCACTTTGTGAACAAATTTTCATATGTCCCAGCATTTAATTATTGACTTACCAAATAGTAGTAGTAGCTTATTAGAAGTATTTATTAAAAGTAGTAGTAGTCTATGAGACTTGAGAAAACATCCTGCTGCTCTGGAGAAGGGAGCAGGTATCCGATAGTCTATACTGGCTCTCTTTCCTGTTCCTGACCTATTTTCAGCACCAAAGCGTACTGTTTGATAACATGCACAGGTTGTGGGATTCCTGCAGACCTAGTTAGGCCCTGAGATTCCAGACTTCTCTGCTGATTCTGTAGTAAAATAGTATTAATGTAGGCTAGATGGGGAAATTCCAATCAGCAACATCTAAATGGAAACCCCTGCTTGTAAAGAAAGTTCGAGTTCATTACTGCCTTTGTGGAACTGGGAAGGAATGAGTTTCTTCCAAAAGACATGGATTCTGCAAGGTTCTTACTGTTGTCTCTTCTTACTAATGTTGGTGGAAACTGAGAGTATCCTTCACCATGCTGGAGGAACTTTTACTTGCTTTAAATTCGTATTTGTAATAAATAGCCTGATATTTCAGACTGTTTATATTAGTTCTGTGTTCTCTGCACAAATCTTTCACTGTATTTGCTGATTGGGCTGTCGGCATGTTAATCTGAACTACTGCACTCAATTGTACAAATGCGATTTAGATAATTCTGAAAATGTTATCATAAGATGCAAAGTTAAAATCTTTCTGAAGAGTAGTTATTGGTTACTGCCTTTCACAATTAGTCTGTTTTACTTTTATTTTTTCCTCTTAAAATAGAGCATTAGTAGAGCATAATAACAACAAAATGCCTGCCTATTTTTCCTATTAAATCAAAGTTAGACATCAAGGGAAAGGAAATTCAATAAAGATTTTCTTTGTTTTTCTCCCTCCACTCATGCAGATTTAAAATGTCATACTTAAAGATGTAGTTGCATACAGAAGGAAAAATCTATTTAGGTCACTTAGTTATAAACCACACAGCGGGGTTTAGAATGTAGACATGGAGATTAGCTTATCTCCACTGGTACACGCTGAGTGCTTCTGTAATCAGAGCAGCTTCTTGGTCCAGTTTGTTGTGCTTTACCTTCTAAATGTTCTGTGCATTGTGACCTTGCTGCTATATGATATGTGGCTTTGACTTGATGTCTGTTCTGGTGTCTGGTTTTGTTGCTCTTGTCACCTGTTCTGCCTTATTCCTCTCCAACAAAGAGGATGTGGGAATGCAGGATTCAGGGCAACCAAGCATCAGCAAAATGTACTTCTGGAACAGTAATGGGCACTGGCAGGGATTCTCTGTAGGCAGACGTGCAGTGACATTTAAGTCTGCCACCACAAATGGAGATTGAGCGTTCGAGCATGTCTAGTTCAAAGATGGAAAGGAGGGAGTACATGAAAGACAAAAGAAATAAAACCAACCACCAAAGCAAGTGCATAGATCCTCTTGTATGCATCTCTTTTCTTTCAGCTGAAGGACAGGTGAACCTTGTATACCTAGAAGAAAATCTGAAAGTGTAAATAGTCATTGTGCAGTTAAAAGATTAACTTTTCAGAATTTAACTGTGTGCTGACTTTTGTCGTAATTTTTTGTTCTTCTTTCAGTAAAATGATAGTCCTTGATACTTGATAATTTTTATTCTTCCTGAGCTTATTTACCGTTAAACATGAATTAATATTAAACAAGTAACTTTTTGAAATTGGTTGTGCGTTCAGGTGTAAAAATTGCTGTTCTCTTTGCTAGTGTTTCTTCTAATGTCTGTAGGTGCAAATGAGCAAATGGGTGGGTGTATGGCAGCACACAATTCATGCACTATTAGAAACCAGTTCTTAATTAAAATGTGCTTCTATATGTCAAGAGAAACTTAAGTGAATCAATTAGGCTGGTATTAAATTGTTACAAAATGTTCAGCAGACCCCATGTGTTTTACTTACGCATTTGAGTACTCAGTATGTGTAAATGCTTTGTTCTAGGGTTCCTCCCCCCCAATAGTAACTTTAAAATCTTTTTATTCATTCTATGCGCAGCATATATGAATATGCCACTATCTGATTACTGTGATTAAACCCAGTAGTGGCACATGATTTACAGCCATTCTACATTGGAATTGTAAGGAAAATGACCTGATGACTGAAATAGTGATTTCCACTCAAATGTTTATGATCCTACCCAAGAAAAATTTCTCAGTAAATTGCATTCTAAAGTATTGTTAATTCTTATTCATCTGTCTATAAACTATCACTATGTCTTTGTCTTTAGTCAATTTGATACATCATCTTCTAAGGAGGAATAAATTGCTATATTATGCTTGATCTGAACTGTGGTAGTTGCACTTAAATCACATCTTTTCTTTGTTGACCATAAAGCAAAGCTCACTAATTCCTGCTTTGCCTGGTCTTAACTGTAGATCCACTTATCCTTTATACAGATTGGCTGCATTTCTGAAGAGATACTCAGTTTTCTTGCAAAATTCCACAGCTCTGTCTTGTGTACTTGAGACTAAATTAATCACAGCATATTTAGGTGAAGCTTTACATTCATATTGTGCAGTGTTTTAAGGATTTGTGTTGTGGCTATGCCAAGGTACCCCACAGGACTGGAATGCCAATGCACCAGATGTCAGACAAGCACCCTGAAATATGCAGTGAAATTTGCAGTGCTGTCTAGAAGAAGTAAAACTGAACTTAATAACTGAAAATGAGTGAAACGGACAATACAGAGGGATTGTTTAAATGATATAATCATACTTCCCAGCTAAATAGGCAGTGTAATTTGTTTCTGAATACTTTGAGTTAAAACAAACTGACCATACCTTACCTCTGTAGTCATTATCAGTTGTCTGACTTTTTTTGGCTGTCAGAGTGGAGTCCTGAGAAGGGAACGCTGTGTTAGCATTAGCTATCTGCAAAGGTATTCACAAGACTTCTGGTAATGCTTACTGTAATGTTTTGTCTTCTCATTTCTCCTTTAATTACACACATTAAAGTGTTTTGTTGGGCTTCAGTAGTTACATAAAAGCAAAATCTGTGTAATAAAGGTAGAGAGGTACTCTCCCCTGTTTAAATAGTTGAAAACAGTGATATCTCTTAAAGCCATGTAGTACTACACAGCATCATTATGTGCTGATGGTCATGAAATACTGTATTGATTGTTTGTGTTTAAGCCTGTGGAAAATCTCCCACAAAGCGTTGAATGAAGTTGTAAATCCATCCTTACCTGCCCATCTGAAGTATAATCTCTCAGTTTTTATTTATTATTACATGCCACTTGGAAGGATAAGAGAAGAAGAAAGAGTGAAAGATATTGTTTAAACAAGGTCATATAAAGAATTTAGGAAATGATCATTGAAGCTTTAGATGAAAGTATTTTCTAACATAATTGCATATCCTAGGAGGAAAAAAAAAAGCCTAACTACAGGTTATAGAATATATCTGAGGTGTTTTCTGGAGTTAGAAATAGACACTGCCTGTAATTTTTCAGTGTCTTATGAATTACTCTTGAGTTACTAGATGAGTAGCTCTCTTTAAATGTTAATCCATTTTGTTTTAGCAAGTTGCGGTTTGAGGTAGGAAGAAGCTAAATCTGTATTAGGCAGTCATTGAAACTCGGTTTATTTAATGTCATAATATATTTGTGCTGTATCATTAAATAGTCTAATTCTTTAGGGTTCTTATCCCCTCCCCTCTTTGGAGACTATTCATAGGGACATTTATTGTTGACGTTCCTACAGCTATCCAGATTTTTATTTAAATTCTTCACTGCTCTTATTACAGTCATTGCCTCTAGGCTTGACATTGGGTTTGTTTTTTATTAAATAGATAATATGAGGTCGCACAGATACAAGACCAGTAATTCTTCTCTTTCCCTGTTACAGTAATTGACACTTCTGTTTTGTTGATTTATGCCTGACAGAAATTACTGAATTATTAGATGGAGAACTGGATGCTCTCCAGTCTTTTTGCACTGTTAAGATAAGCAAGATGCATCAGCAGCTGATCTCTAAGCAGGCAAATGGTGGCAAGTCAGCAAAGCTGCAGCATGGATTCACAGCAAAGAAAATGGAGACAAGTGACTTGAACTGCATTATTCCTGATTGGCTAATGAACAGAATCCGCCTGAAAAATATCAGAGAGACTGTTAAACAGGTACTGCAAGGAAGGAAAGAATTTAGATTTTGTCTATGCTTTTGGGAGAACCACTGGAAAAAAAGATAAGATAAGAAAAAGAAAAAGAAAAGATAAGGATCAAATCAGGCAGACCTTACTGATGTCATGCTTAGGCCTCTGAAAGATTTTTTTCCTTGATATCTCAAGGAATGTTTGTATTCTGACTCAGAGCGGCATATAGATATTTGAACTCATTGCTTCAGAGTTTATTTACCTCTTAGAATTCGTAAAGATAATCATAACCTCTTAAAATTCTTAAGATAATCATAACCTCTGTGGTTGGTATTTAAGGCATTATGTATACTGTTAGCACAGGAACACTGCTGTTCCTATAGCTACATTGCAGACATGCAGTTATATATGGTGGAATTATTGCTGAATTAACAATTGCTGTTATTGAATTGTGATGATCAAGTATTGGAAATGTGGGGTAAAACATGTTAATTTAACTTAATCAAGCCTTCAGGAATTAGTGCATTTGCTATTGTGGGAGACTGGTTAGCGTGCACAGGCTGACTTCTGGAACATCAGGTACTCATTAAGCAAGTGTAACTAACAGCTGGTGGTGCTCTAATACTAACACTAGCAAAATATGTATAGATTTACATTGGCAAAATTGTAATGTGTACTGAGCATCCACCCAGGGTCAAATGAGTTATACTAATTAAAACAAATTTTTTGCCAGTATAACTGTATCCTCACAGTTGGTATTGGCTGGTCACCGATGTGTTGCTTGGCAATCACATGATTTTTTTTTTTTTTTTTTTTTTACTGTTATAGTTTCTGTGGAAGATGTCAGTAATGTCCATGCAACCTCAAGCGTCAGGGAGACTTTGCCTATTACAGGAAGAAATAGTATATTACAGATCAGTGCTATGGTTCTGAGATACAAGTAGATAATTTTAATGAAACTAAGTTATCAGTGCTGGAAGGGGTAATACTTGGGGAAAAGCAAATATATTTAGTCTGAAAACATTCAGGCAGGCTTATTAAGATGATACTGTGACAAAGATTGTGAAATAATTCACAACTGCCTACAAAAGCAGGTTTTTGTCTTTAGACAGTATCTATATCTGTATTTTTATTGATTGTTCTTAATGGAGTGGCCCTCTTGCTAGGACAGACATTGCTCATTGCATCAAAGTCTCATCTTTCAGGTGACAGAAGCTCAAATCCACCAATCTTCAGTGTGCCCTGACTGTTGGAAGAAGGAAGCAGAGCTAGCCAAGATTACCTTTCTCAGACGAAAGAAGATTCTAATGGAAAGTGCTTTAATCCAAGAGAAATTGGAAGAACAGATTTACTCCAGAGTAAGCAAATGTTGTTAAAAAAAGTTGTTGTACATTTTATACATACTGTAACTAAAGAATCTGTAAGCCAGATTTCCCTCTGATTTATGGCAATGAGATCAGATTGACCTGAATGCAGTGCAAGTCAAAATAGAATTTGTCTCCATAGCATTAATAAAATGCTTGGGACTAACATACTGATCAAGTCATTTGAGCTGCCTGATTTATATAAGCTGAAGGTCTTTCCCAGGATGCCCTAGAATTGTTTTGGGTACATCTCGATTATTTCTCCACAGTTTTTCTGATGGGCTGCCCAAGACAAAATGGTAAACAACAAAATGATGTGACAGTAGGTAACTATGCCCATACTAGTCTTCCTTAGTCATCCTTTGGTGTAGGAGTCTCAGAATAGGACACTGCAATGTGTTATGGAGCCTAAGGCCTCTCAGATACACTGGGATTTCTTCTGTCTCTGTCTGCTGTCACAAAGAGTCAACCTTCATTGTTAGGAGATATTTCTGGAACAGATGGTAGGCCGTGTAAGCTGAAACTTACAGAATTCCTTGGGTCTTCTGTGGCTATTCCTCAGGATGATCTTCTTCCTGAAGGAAGACCTCTTCTCTCACTTTTTGAAAGGGAGTCAGACTGAAAGCAGGTTGTTTCTGAGCAGTGGATAAGTAGTGCTTGCTGAAGCCCTGAGGTCTGTCTTTCTGTGTTTGTGAGCAGGGTGGGAATTTGTACCACACGTTCTTTTTTTACCTAATAATGCCAGTCTCCTGATTTTTTGACTCTCATTCACTCCATACCTAAGATTTGAGAACTTCAGTCTCAGGTGAGGTTTCACTTCTTTTTCCTCTTGTTTTTCTCCCAGCTTCCCTGAAAAGGCCAGCTGCTTTTTCCTTCCCCTCCTTAGGGAAGAAACCTGCTTTATGAGGCAGATCACTGGCCACACTGTTCAAGAAAGTTTTTAAGCAGGATGCTTCAAAAATCCAGCAAAACTTTGCAATGAGTGCTGCCTACCTAGTTGTTTTGGGGGGACTGGTTGTAGCTGCCCATGATAGACCTGTGATACAGGACATGAGAAATGACTGGAATACGAAACCAAGTAATTTCCATGTTTCCTTTTTATTTCAGGATGTGCTTACACTTATAGGAGAAGCACTCAGAAGCTTTCCCAAACCTTCAGAGGATCCCAAGAACTTATGGCAAAAGCTGAAAGGTCAGACAATGTAAGGCCTGAAAGTAGTAAACGTAACTCAAGGACATAAACAACTGGGAGAGTCTTCTGCGGGCAGTCACGTACTGAGTGCCAATGATTGAGGATATAACCTGTTTTGTCAGTGATGAATTGGGTGGTGGTTTAATATTCCTGCAGGCGGAACCTGATATGCCCAGCATACTGGCATCTGGGTTACAATTCAACTCTTCATTCTTCCTAAATGCAAATATTGCAATACATTGTAATAGAACTATATAAGTTTTTCAAATTACGGAAGCCAACACTTTCTATTATTAATCTGACAAGTAATAAGTATTGGGTTTTGGGGGATTGCTTGTGGGATTTCAGAACAGCTCACAGCTGCTTCCATCCATAAGAAAATAAATGATTCCGTTTTTCGGGGCAGGAAGGTGTAATTACTGGATTTCAGCTCAATCTTTGCCCAGTGTCTCGTGTTAAATTGAAAGTGAGAGCCCCAGGTGGAGGAGAAAAAGAAGGTTGCAAAGTAACTATAGAAAGGAGTAAAATGAAATGGGGTATTTATAGGACTGAAATAATGAGACTATAACAGAAATTAATCAGCAAGACTGAGGATGCCAACAGGACAAGAAATTATAATAAATTACTTATAGAGCCTATATAGGATAGGTGTCTAGAAAGAGAAAAAACAACATAGATTAAAATTGGAATAAGATGCCAAATAGTGTTTTTGACTGGTTTTTTTACTATACTTTGGAATTTGTAATTTTCTGTGATTTTTCAAGATAGCAAAGTCACTATCTTTCAAAGAATGTATCTGGGTGAAAAGTTGGTATTCAGTACACATCCAAATAAAATGCCTTTATGCTGGGTATCTCAGTGGGTTAGACAATGAAATCATCTTCATTGTAGCCTCAAAAGATATATGCTGATCTGTGGGCACAAATGCAGTCCACCTTTCTGATTATTGCTGACAGCAAGAGTTCATTGCATTGGTCTTGCAGTGACCTTGTGGCCGTTGGACTTGTGTGAGTCATGAAGTTACTGACTCTCATCAGTGTCTGGTTTCCTGACTTCTGTGCATTTAGATCTCTGAAGGTTGTGGAAATCTTGAAGGAATATCCTTATCTATGAACTTTTACTGAATTTTTGTTACAAAGCGAATAAGATTAAGTTTTACTGTTGCATTTTATTTTCCCATTTTGGGACAAGAATATATCCATGTAGTTATTTTCTTTTGTATGCTTGCTATATATTGTTTGTAAGAGTGCTTGAGGGCTGTTTAGCCTCTTATTTTCACTTCCTGCAAATCAGTGGAAAACCTGAAAAGAAATGCTAGGATATAGAGGTAGATAGGTCCACCTATGTTAGCTAGTATCTGCCTTTTGGTGCTTAAAAACCTACCTTGAATGACTTCACTGGGAGTTGGTCCTGAGTAGGTCAAGCCCCAAGTGAAAACATAATGCAGCCCTAAGTTGTTCAAAGCTAGCTGTCCTCACTGCTTCATCAGCAGTTTCTTCTAGTTTCTTGTAAACAGCAGGTTTGATAGTCCATTGAAAATATTCCCCTGAGCTTGGCTTGAATCTTTGAATTGTCACTGCAGTTTACATAGCTGCCTATATAATGAATAAACTGCTGCTTGTTTCTTACCTTTACTCTATAATCCTTAGAAATGTTTAAATCCTGTAAATCTCCTAGCTTCCAGTCTTACAACCCTTTTCTTTTTAGATACTCCATCTCTGTTCCTTATTTGCTTTGGACTACACTCCCTGTTTCTCTTGAGTCTTTTGAAGTCTCTAGCAATCTGCCTAACACTAGGCAAAGGCTGCCCATTATTCCATGTGAAGTCTCGTAAGGGCTGTCAAATATAGAAGTGGTGATCAGGAGCTGAATCCTTTGAAAATGTCATTTTGTTATTATTGCCAATGAACACAGCTTTCAGCCCTTACAAAAAACACAGAAAGTGACTTCCAGGAGTCTAAATATAGATTGATTGTTTTCATAAGTAAAAGAAGACATTTTGATATTTTTGCTTTCAGTACATAAATGCTTTCTAGAAATACTGAAATACTTCTTTGCAACTCTTGCCAAGCCTTTATGTAAATACATTGAACTATGAGCTATTTGGGTTAGGCATCTGACAATATTTGTCTGTAAAATAGTATTCATACTTGCACAGCACAGTGGCTGTATGGTTCTTGTTTGTTTGCATAAACGTTACAAAGACAATTCAGATAGCTCCTCTGAAAAATCAAAGCATATTTTGCTTATGTCTGCTTCATGCGTTTTCCTACTGCTCAGTACAGTTCTTTCACTTTTTTTATCAAGAATGTCTGAGATCTGAGTGTTTCTCTTCTGCTTTCTTGTAGCAGCTATTAGGGATGTACAATGGAATGAATGATCTGAGTCTCTAATTTATTTTATAATCCTGCAGTGTTTGAGACTAGAGATCCAAAAATTCTGATGTGGAGGACGTAGGGAAAAAAAAAAGTAGATAATCTCTCTTCTCTTTTCCCCTCACAGGAGCTCCCCCCGCCCCTGCCTTCCTCAGTAGTAGATTTTTCTTTTGATCCAAAGAAACACTCTCAAACTATGATTAAGAAATATTTATTCATCTGCTCCCTTGTTTCTGCTTGCTGGGGCATAAAAGGAGCGAGGTGGATCAAGGGTGATTCATATGATAAGCAGCTGTAGTACTGAAACAAATCAATCTGTCTATTAAAAGTACTTTGGCGCTTTTGCTTTCTAGCTTTCATGCTACACATAGTTGCATTATTTAGTCTTCTGAATGATTTGTCATGTACTAGAGTTTATTACTCTGAACTTTGTACAAATACAGAAGGGGTTTCGTGTATGCATTGTTTTATAATATGTGTATGCTGATAACTGGTTTCATGATGTTATACTTTATAACTGACCCTTTGGATAAAATTACATTCCTCAAGTTTTCATTAAAATCAGTTTCCTGTGGACTGCAGCAATGTAATTTCTAATTTCATTTGCCCTAGCTTTCTCTATAAAAAAAATTAACCTGGCTTCAAGGCTCAGTCATTCCTTAGTCTTGTTTCTAGCCATCTGTTGGGCCATCGGACTTTATATTCGTTTCTCCTCTAGGATAAACTTCTCATTCACAATAGGCTACTAGCACATGTTTAAACGGGAATGAAGTTTTAGTGCAATTATCTTGCCTGGTTGTGAACTAGGAACAAAGATAAATGCGTTTGAATACTGATTTCCAGCTACTAGCAAAGTATGTAATCACAGAATGGCAGAGGTTGGAAGGGGCTTCTGGACGTCATCTAGTGCAACCCCCTGCTTGAACAGGGTCACTTGAAACCAGGTGGGATCTGGTCCCACTGGTCCAGTAGTCCTTACATTAATCTTGAATCTTTTCTCTGAAGCTATACTAAAAACTGAAATGCTTCAGGCCCCCTTGGGGCTACTGCCTTTCTGTAAATCCATCTCCCCAGTCATGGCTTTGTTGTGTGGCAAGAGTCAGGGTTTTGTTTGGTGTTTGTTTTGTTTTTTTGGGGTTTTTTTGTTTGTTTTTTTTAACAGAGCCAGTTTGATCAGCTTCCAAGAAGAGGAACTGGACCCCTTTATTCATATTGGGAGCTTGACAAAAATTTTAGACTGGTGGCACTGAGGACAAGGTTTTGCTGCTGGAAGGGGATCATGTTCCTCTGCGAAATTGTTAGCTGACACAGCGCCCAGACTCTTCTTCAGTAAAAACCTGAATTGTAGCTTTCAGTGCAGTTATTCCAAATCATACATGCATACTCCAGCAAGAGCTGGAGTGCTTCCAGCTATGTATTTTTAAAGCATTTTGAATATACTTGCATTCTTCAAATTGTAATTTTATTACCATTCAGTATGATTTTCAGAGAATGACTTTTTATTGTCTCCACTCAATAAGAGCTAACGTAGACGCTACGTGCCAATTGTTAACTGCCTGCAAGAGTTGGTATTCTAAATGCCACTGTGTTTAAAATATGTTTTTTAATTTTGTGAATACATATATTAATCTTATGAATGCTACATTTGCATTGTTTTTATGCAACTAGCTAACTGTTCCTTTTTCCTCCACAACTGATTCTGAAGATCTTAGCCTGCACTGACAGCAGCATGAGCTGTATGGGGGGAGGCTGGGAAATGAGGGGGAGTGTATACCTTCTGTCAGTAAGGTATTAGGTCCTCTGTCTTTCAAACTACCTATAGAATTGATCAGGGTACCTTAAAAAAGAAACATTTTCCAGCTTCTGGGCATGGATATTCACTGCTTATTTATTTATTTTGTAATAAAATAGTACTGTTTGTTCTCACATAGACTAGTGTGTATGATCCATAAATGCGTTTGTAAAATAGATTTGTAGCATGTAACAGAATCCTTTAGAATATTCTGTGAAAATTCATATTTTTAGTTGATAGCACTTTAAGAACATTTACATCCTTCATCTTGACATTTTTAAATAGAACATTTTTTGCCTACAGAAGTAAGTTTACAGCATCATCACAGTATTATAGCTTGTTTAAAAATACATACAGCATTAATGGTAATTGCAAGCAAGCTATATACTTGAGCAGGGTTTTTTGTTTGTAATTTTACATGTGTTCTACTTTTTAAAACAATTACGTATATTAATATTACATCCATCACTTTGTTAGAAAATATTACTTATATATGTTACTCACAATAGATCTGTCATTTTTCTGTGACATAATATTACAGGCTATGAAAATAGAAACACACCATTGTATGGTTGGTTTAAAAATAATTACAAGCCTAGTTAAAAAAGTGCGTTAGGCTTGCTCTTTCCTTGGTAAGTTAGGTTCCACTAACGCTGGATATCCTTAACCCGCTTACGGTTGGAATGCCACTAGCACCTTTCACATATTATGTGAAAGAAATACTGACTTACCACCTGCCAACAAATTTAGGGCTTGGTCCTGCATGCTTTCTGCATGGAACTGTTGCTGAAGACATGAAGAGTTCTTCAGCTACAGGCTTTCAGGACCAGGCT